ATGTTTGTAATTATATCAATTGACAATCTCATATTTTATCAATCTCGTGTTTCAGACAAGTATCTGATAACGAAAATATATTTTACGCGGTTAATCTTTACAGTAAACTCGAAACACCGGCTGTGATTAAACAGTTAAGTCCACCCTGCGTAAAATCATGGTTCGCCCCCTTAACGTCTCGAGACGGTAATAAACGCGTTTATCTTCTTTATTTCTGCGTTTCTTTTTACCCTTTATCCTCGCCGTGGCACGCCGCGACTGCGAAGAGGTCGCATGGTTCGTGTCACGAAATGATAAGCATCGCAGCCTGAAAAGCAGAGACTGACCCCTAAGTCCGATCGATACCGCCGTTGTAGAACGTCAAGACTTTCCTTCTGACCACTACCCCATCGGGGTTACCACTTCCTCGTCTGACTCATTTTCGGTTCCGTGAAAAAGATCTTCCACCTCAAACTTGAAGCAGCGACGTAACGTTGGGAATAAGTAATGCCGACTCCTTATTTAACGACCCTCTGTCTTTTCGAGTACTTTGGAAAATTCACTGCACGGAATGAGCAGATGCTATCAGCCGAGACAAATTTTTCAAGCGGGACCTAAGAACAGGTACGATCTTATCGATCACCGATGTGTTTCCCCGCGCGTCGGTGTTTCTTCAGCCACGGTGCACGTGGTCTCGTCTATTTTTCATTGCATCGAAATTGCATACGTAATTTTCCTCGCCGCGTAGAATAGCAGCATGAATCAATCCACGACGTTTTAACGCTTTAGGGAAGACCGTAACGGGTGGTGGTAAATTAATTCGAAACACTACTCATCGTGTGGATAATTCTTGGCGAATCAGGTCACCGGACAGGTGTGTGTGTGTCCGCGTGGCTGTGTGTAATTCGTTTACCGATAGCGAAGCCAGAAATTGTAATTACACCTTCTGTAAATCACTCTGATTTCTGCTGTTGAAGCAATCAAATTTTCTGCTGAATTAATGTGCTGAGGACGCGCGACTATTGTATGACCTCGTACGAATAAGAATTGAAACTTGAAGGAATTGCATTTAACTTGTAATTCTTCAAATATATAAAAATTTAATATTTTACTTAAATATGAATGCAAAATAAATTCAAAGTACACGAGATACAACAAGGAGCACGTGTAATCTTTTTAATTTTCGTAATTATTAAAATTATGGTATATTTTCTTACCACTTGTTTCCGAGATGTTGAAGAACGGCGTGAAGGGATTGCCCTCAGACACGAGACCGTACACGATTTCACGTGGCACCCCTTTATCTCCGTCTTCCGCGTGCACCCGCAGAACTACATCACCCTGAAATCAATGTACAAATCAATGCGCACATTTACTTTTTTCTTGGTATCAACCTTTACTATCGAATCCGTTCGCACACATCCGTTCTTCATAAATATTTCAATATTGCACAATATTATGCAACACAAATTTTTGTTACATAAATCAAGCAGAACCTGAGTTTCTTATTTTTTATTCTGATATATTTTATGAACCATAAATTATTATTATTCGTTTTAAATTTTATTTAATATTTCCAATACAATTAATACATTTAACATTTTGTATATAACTGCGATAAATCTCACCGGATGTACTGAGTTATTAATCCTAGTAAGAGGAGGTGCCAGTGTAAAAATTGGAGGGACGTCCTGAACATCTTGAACAACCACAACCAGGCTTAAACCTGCTATGTTCCTAGTATCTTTCCCTTGCTCTGAGTACGGGTCCTAATCAAGAAATTATGTTATTCAATCGTTTTCATAATTGCTTACAAGCTTTCAGGTAAATCGTACATACCGTGGCATACATAGTGAGAGTGTACATAGACTGTGTTTCGAAATCTAGTTCACCGGTTAGTATAATCATCCCTCGCGTCTGCGTAGGCGTCTGTCTTTGTCTAATAGTAAAAAGTTCCTTCGGTTGCTGTAAGAAAAATAATATTATACCATTAAATGTATAAAATATACGTACACTATATAATTACTCGTTTTAAATTTTATTTAATATTTCCAATACAATTAATACATTTAACATTTTGTATATAACTGCGATAAATCTCACCGGATGTACTGAGTTATTAATCCTAGTAAGAGGAGGTGCCAGTGTAAAAATTGGAGGGACGTCCTGAACATCTTGAACAACCACAACCAGGCTTAAACCTGCTATGTTCCTAGTATCTTTCCCTTGCTCTGAGTACGGGTCCTAATCAAGAAATTATGTTATTCAATCGTTTTCATAATTGCTTACAAGCTTTCAGGTAAATCGTACATACCGTGGCATACATAGTGAGAGTGTACATAGACTGTGTTTCGAAATCTAGTTCACCGGTTAGTATAATCATCCCTCGCGTCTGCGTAGGCGTCTGTCTTTGTCTAATAGTAAAAAGTTCCTTCGGTTGCTGTAAGAAAAATAATATTATACCATTAAATGTATAAAATATACGTACACTATAATATTACAATTACGTTTCTCATATTATTAGTTTATAGAGCTTACCCAAAGTTCAATATAAACAGGTTTCCCACTCCAGGAATTTGCCCGTACGAGAAGATAATCTAATTCCTTGCCTGGTTTCGTATCCTGTATAATATTTAAATCAGTTCGCAACAAATCGATTATTATACAACTTATTGTACACGTATATGAATTTATACTATTTTTTTTCATATTCTAATTTAAATTCATTGACAAACTAGAGAGTATATATAATATTGTATAGGAAGTTTGGCACAGTGAATAATTGGTCCTAACAAGGATTGTTAAATTGCATGCCAGAGAGAGTTTTGCGCTTTATGTTAAAATCAATGCAACGAGTAGTGGTAATCGCAGCAATTAGCACGACGAATAATTACCTCGGGCACCATTATGAGGGAAGGTATGTGCGGGAATATTTTATCACGCGGAGTGGTGGCGTTCGTTACAGAAATGGTGGCCTGCATCGAGTTCGAATCACCCTTCGTGTCTCTGACCCTCACGGCGAAATCGTGAAGGCGTCCGGGTATTAATCGTTTCGTTAGAATTACATTAGCTTGACAGACCTTGTTGTACAAAGTGCACGGCAGATTGTCGATCCTCACAACAGGTGTAATGGTAGCTAGACGAATAAAAAATTAAAAGATCCAATACGCGAGCCAATCATGTGACCATTTAATAAAAATAATTTATCTCATATGAAAGGTAAATGCATTTAGAATTAATTATTATTCATTGTGATAATCAAGTTGTTATAGCAGTACCAGTGATTTCAAAAACAAGTGGAAAATCCGCGTCTTGGTCAGTCGCGCGGAGACGGAAGATGACTGAATCTACTTCAGCATCAGCTGGAACAAGGACCAGTCCCATGTCCGTGGAAGTATCAAAGCGTGGACGTGCCCCTCTTGCCCACGCGAAAACGAACCCGAAATAAATCCATACCTTGCACCATTCTCCTACAAAGGGCATTCTGCGAACACCAAATCATTCTAGCCATTAGCACTAATAGAAATTGTGTTATTAGTAAATTTATTTTCAATCACGTAAAATCGTTTGAAGGAAGATATTATATGATGAACAATTAATTATAGTTTAAGCGGATGTACTAACGATTTACTCTTATCAACATCAGTTGAATTTCACTGGGGTGAATGGAAGGATCGATAGCTCGTTATACAGGCTCCCCTGTTTCTTTTCTAAATATTGCAAAGAAATGGGTTCAAAGCTTCTCAAACTGACTGACAGTCATTCCACTTATCGAGTGAGCAATTATTTAAGAGAGTCAGTGGTCACTCCTCGCTACCGCGTGATAGGGCGAGCACCCCTCCTTCGTGCTGACAGCGGTCTTAATTTACTCGGCGAACGTGGAAGAATCGTATCGACGATGATTTCATACATTATATATTTACATTGATTGCGTGCAGCTCTATGGAAATCAGTTTTAATACCTACACCGAAAAACCGGTTCCTAAAGGGAGACATTATCGCATTCTTCATTTACAGGCCAGATGCTTATCGCCCCATTACGAGGGAATAATTCATTGAACTCGTAAAACAGCCACATATTTGGAAGTCCAGCATGATAAATGACAAGATATATTATTTACAAGGTTAATACCGTTTATTTCTTTTTTTCTTTAATTAATAATAACGAGGCTAAAAATATAGAGGCCTGTTGTAAATAGCGATATAATATATTTTGCAAAAATGATAAAAAAAAATTACAATCCTACGATTAATGCGAATTAAATGCAGAATGGTGAGTTTTGATAAAATCGAAGGTATCGATTTTATGATCAAGAAACGAGGTCGTGAGTACTTATTATTCGAAACGAACATTATGTAGTCAACGGTATTCGTCAAGTTAGTAGTTCCTGCTTTACACGAATCGCGAAGCTTTTTGATATAACAAGGAGGCGTGTTATTTTAGATAGCGAAATACAAGGCTCTGTAACGACTGCTGTCAAGAATGCATTCACTCATTTATCTTATAACACTTGCAATAATTCATATATTATTAACTTTGTCAATCCTTCATTTCTTTTATACGAGTTCAGTTCAGATATTTTTAAAAATACATGAGAAGTTCAATATGAGATAAGAAATTGTCTTGATATTTTCTGAAACTAATTTGAAATTGTTTATCACCTATTTATATATTTGTTTCCTATTTACTGTTCGAGGGTGTCTAAGTGTTTATACGATTTAATCGTTGTATTGGTTTCTAGGAACTGTGTCGGGGCAATTTACCCTATAATGTGGCTCGCCACGTGCCAATGAAGTCACTCTGACAGGAACAGAATGGGGAAACTACGTATTGCGGAAATAAATGTAGGTCATTATTTATTAATACACAGAATAGAGAATTAAAAAGAATTTGCCAGATGTAAAACTCGTACGGAAAAGTTATTAAAAAAATATTATACAAATATTTGTTAATAAAATATTTATCCACTAACGTAATTAATTATTTACTGAAGTTCTTAAGCTAAATATTAAAAAGTAACAAAGTTCAAGATACTGTAATTAAGAATTTACGATCCTGTATGTTTTTATTATTATCTTCCATGTAACGGAGACAGTTAATAAATACGTAAAGAATCTACTCCTAAGTTCGTGTCCAACCTCATCTACCATATGCATAAGAATTTGATCATATCGCCGGTCATTGTCCACCTTCGTTAGATCGATTTGATTTCCTTTTCCGCTTGACACGCATCCACATCCACATGCATAATGCACAATCTGAACCGGCTTTCATTTGCATGTGTCTCCAAAAAGATAGAACTTCATGAATTGACATAAGTTATATGCTTGAATCACATAGTTGTAAGAATTGCTTTTAAAGACTTATGTGGGATATGCAACATTTATATTAATAAAATCAATGAAATTAAAATAAGAAAATAATTAATTAAAAAGCAAACATAAGAAAGTGAAATTTGTATTGAGAAATTTTTGTACATTTGCTTCATAATCAATAGCATATAAACTGTTTTCATGAATCTGAAATAAATTGTCTATGCGAATATAAATTTAGATGAACATTGTTTATAGAGTATATTTACTATTAATCGTATTTTATCAAACGGTCAAACACCTCTAGCGTTACCAAATGTAGAACGATCAAATATCTCCGTTAATGGGGTACGTAATGTAGTGCTGGCATGCCACGCTGAATTCAAGCACACTGGAACGCGTCAACCGAAGTAGTTTTATTTGCAATGTATTTAACGTTTGAATATATAGAAATTAAATTAGTAAGTAATAAAGATATAGAATGAATAATATAAAAAATCACATAAATAAATTAATAAAAATTAATAAATAAAAT